GCACTCAAATATTTATTTAAATAGTAATTATTTGGGACATTATCCAGTACCTTAGAGGCACTGCCTATATTTAAAGGGTCTTAATCATTATGTCCCTTTCCTAAGTGTACATGACATAAAGACCCAAATAATAAATGTGAAATCCATATAATACTGATCGTATTAAGCACAAGTAATTTGCACACACCAAATTACCCCTAATGTTCTCCTCACCCTGTTGATGAGCCTTGGTGGCACTGATTAGATTGCAATATTGCAGGCTAACTCTGCATTCTACTGCCAGTTCAATCCTGACTGGCTGAAGGTTGACTCAACCTTCCATCCCTCTGAGGTCAATAAAATGAAGATCCAGATTGTTGGGTGCTGACTCTGTAAACTGCATAGAGGGCTGTGAAGCAGTACTGTGAAGCAGTATATAAGTCTAAGTGTTATTGCTATTGATTTGAAGAAATAAACTTTTGCCCAGTTGAGGTAATAGGGAAAAACAAGACTTGACTGTCTTCCATGAAGATGCACAAGTGGAATGGATAATCCCCTTTCTATATCTGAACATAAGGATAAATACTCTCTGGAATGCTCCAATTTTCTACTCTAGCAATCTTGATATGATATGAAATGTCACTTTGAAGTAACCGTAATATGTTGGGATGAAATAAAAACACAGTATGGGTCCTCATAAGTTTTCATGTTTTCCATGGTAACAGTTGTTGCTTTACTATGCTTCTTTCCCCATTAGAGAGCATCGTCATTCGTCAGGTGCGCATAAACTCAAGATGAGAAGCCACGTCAACTCCGTGTTATTCTTGTGCACTTCTTCTCCACACCTCTGGATTGATCACTGTGAAAATTCTGCCTCTATAATTCTGATCGTCCATGCTACTGATCACTTGTGGAAGTATATTTTGCTGCTTCCGTTGGATTTTGATTTTTCTTTGTGTGCATGTGCAACTTTTATTTTAATTCTCAAGAAACTGTGTTTGCTGGGTTTTTTTTTTAAACTAGACAGTAAGAAAGGAAAACATGTGCTTTGCAAAGTGTTCAAACCAATTGGTATTTGTCTGATTTTGTTTGGTGTTTCCTACATAATTTATTTTTATAATAACACTTTGTAATACGGGATTTTGTTTTGCCAGACCTTCTGACTACCGTGTCCATGGCACATTAATTTTGTAGAATACACTGTCAAAATTTGCAAGGTGCCAGTTTGTATATTTTCTATAGGTAGTGATAGTGATTTGACCTCAACAAAGGCACCTTTTAAAGAAAACGTGTCACAGATGTTTCCAGCTAAAATGTGACTGTGTGACTGAATTGCCCTGAGGACTGCTCTATAAGACAGTATTATAGAACTTTGCACTGCGCTATGATTTAATATAAAAATAATAGCCAACAAACCAAAGCCTTGAATTGTATTTGAGTTTCACAATTTTTTAAAAATATTTTATGCCAATGTTTATTAAACAATGCTTACATGTGTGCTGTTACATATTCTTGTGCCAAAAAGTTTTCTTTTTATCGCACTGTGCCAAATAAATTTTCATAAGCGTGCAACAATATGGTAGCCCTTGAATTTAACAGACAGCATTTTTTTAAAAAAAATCTTAATAATTCATATTGTTAAAATTATGCTATGTTAATTAAGATCAGTTTAATTGGAGAAATTAATTGCAATGTATTCAGATATAGTATAGGCTTGTATAGGTTTAGGTAGCAAATTATCAGTTAATTACTTCTACCTTTGAGTCACTGTTTTCAATTTGCTGCAGACTAGCCTTGTTAAGTATGTACCAGGAAATTCAGCTCCATGGTAGAATGGTAGAAGTCATCATCCCAAACCCTTTATGTAGGAATCTAAATCACCTATGCACAGGTATTTTGGAAGTTTTCCTTTCCTAATTCCTCCTGTGTCATTTCCGAGCATCCCTCAATCCTTGGTCCATTTTTGATAGAAGTGACAGGGTGACATGTGCCTGATTCATCTGTAGGTCTCCAAACCATTTTCATGCAAATGCTGCGTTATCATTCAGAACAACATTATTTCAGTATTACGAAAGGGCAGGGCATCTGCTGAGCTTCAAAACTAGTTACTCTTATCAGACAGACTTCACCACGAACCAAATATGTGATTTTATGAAGGTGTCTTTGTGAAGGATTTGTACTCTAAAATGGGTCTCTAATTCTATCTGAAGATTATATTTTAGCTGGAACACAGAAACAATATAATAACTGAGTTAGCCAAAGTGGCAACGTATATTGTAAATTCTTGTATAATCCTTGTAGCAGATGTATATTCATTAAGTAAATGGAAATTTAATCGTGATAAAATATTTATATTTTATAAAATATTAAGAAGAGGGAAAGGAATCACGATGAGCAAAAATGGAGATTAGAAAATTAATCTGAAAGCAGGCATTTCAATGAGACTAAAGAATTAGTGTTACTTGTTAAGATGGCCAGCTATAGAAATCAAATAGAGAGCCATTTGATGTAATGGCTAAGACACCAAGCTAGAAACAAGGGGACAGTTCTGGTCCTGCCTTAGAGTCAAAGGTGATCTTGGGCCAGTCATTCTGTGCAAACACTAGGAAGAAAACAAGGACAAGCCATTTATAAATATCTTGCCAAGAAAACTGCAGGGACTTGTCCAGGCAGTTGCCAGGCATCAACACCTACATGAAGGCATATGCATACACCACAAATTAGTATTATATAGGTAAAGTATTTCCTTGTGCATTACTTAATCTGGGTTTTCTATGTGTGGATATAATCAGGAAGACTTTTGCTGCTTGAATGTATTGCTACGTCTGAATGATGTTGAGTACATATATACCTAAGGTGATATTTATGCAAAAGAAGATGAGAAAAGGCCTGCTAGCTATACAGATGGTTGTAAATTCCAATGAAATCAAGGGGAATTTATCAATAAACATGGATAAGATCAGTCAGCAGAAGTAAGACAGTAGAGTTAATCATAGCCTTCAACTTCCTTATGGGATAACAACCAATTTATCTGACTTGAAATTTTTTCCTCTTATATTTTGTGAAAACTTTAGTAGATGTCAGAGATTTGATTTAGGCAGAGTTTTCTATTTGTAAAGTTATGCTAATTGGAAAACCATGAAAATTTTTTAAAAAACCAACCCTTATGATGTCAATCACATTTATCATTACGATTTCAGTAATTATCTCTAAATCCTGCAAATCACATTCACTTTTGCATTTTTACTCTTTCCTAAACTCCAGCTTTTTAACATTCATAATACTTCCCACAAATCTACAACCAAATATTTAATAGCAAACTGTTATTTATTTCAGAGGTGCACACTTTTTCTGCTGGATTGAGGGACTCCAAGGATTTATACGGGTCTCTGAAGGCTGCACTGTAAAAGTGCCAGGGTCCATTCTGTAAAGAGGTTCCCATAGTTTTAACACGATTGAAATGGTTAAGCATGTGCATGGAATATAGTTCTCATGTAGTCCTCCAAGCTACCAATACCAAAAAGAAAAGCCCCAACTTTCCCCGCACAGGATTTCTCAAGGTTCATTTTGTGAGGTTCATTTTTTCAAAAATTCTCGAAAGATGAAAAGGAGAGCCTGTTTTATCCTTGATGATTAATCTTAGCAGCAGCAGAACTGCTAAAACATTAAACACTAGAAGTTGCAGAAATTAGGGCAGAACAGAGTGACTGATTCCTGGTGTGCACCAAAGTGGGGAGGTGAGGGTACAGCGGCTTCTGTCTTTCCCCTGAATGCCATCCATGCTTTTAGGTGTTCTTGGCAGGCGATCTACAGTATCCTATTGTCTCCTTTTTTGGTTCACTGCCCACTGTTGTATCAAACTTCTTTCACTCAGTACTCCAGAGTGAACTATATCTCACATAATCCTCAACCCACAATAGCTGCCCTGTTATGGATTATGGGGATGGTATCTCAATACTTCTGAAGAATGGCAGTTTTGGAATAAGCCATGTCATCTTAACCCTTAAGTACCTATTTTTATTATCAAGATCTTTTTAAAAAAATATTCCAACAGAAATTGCCAGAAACATCACACAAACTGGTAGGCTTAAATGTATCTGCTGGGATAATTGTCTTTTCTGTACCTAATGCTCAGAAGCAAACCTCTAAGAGACATCCTTTTTTCTAATACTTAACTACATCAAAAGAAAGCAACAGCAAATCACTTCAGTACAAATTCCATAGAACTACAGAGAAGCACTCAATAGGAATCTACTGGATCTTTATCTTCACCATGCTATCTGAATACACTGAATATATCTGCTTTTGAATACAGCGTTTCATGAATTTTCCACAATTATACTGACCTTAATCATATAATTACAGTAAATATTGTATTTCCAATACATATTTGGCTCCTAACACATCAGATGCAACTGTGGCTGAAAAGAAAGTGTGGGTAATTGATGGCAGCAATACCAGAGGACAGCAGAATAGACTACAAAGAATTGGAAAAGATCACAAAATATTGAAAGCTGAAATCAAATGGAATGACGATGGCATAAACCAGCTTGGTGGTCCCAGTAGTTATTATTGGCCAACTGGATGGCATATCAAAAAATCTTGAGTGGCACTAAGAAAATCTGCATTGACAAAATTTCCAACTGCCAGTTGCAAAAGGCGTCGCTGCTTGAATCTGCATACATACTACTCCGATAAATTACCACATTCTAAGTTCTTGGGAAGAACTGGATGCACATGAAGGCCGACACCAGTTAAAGAAGCGATAGCTGTAGTTTCACATTTTTCTATAAATAATAATTTTCTATACTAATAACAGGTACTTCCGATCCAGTCATGTACAGGCGCCCGCAGCGCCACTGACGTTCTGGCAACAGTTACGTCAACTATGACAAACCCGCACCATTCTTTTTTTTTTTCCGCCCTTCGCTGCGCATGCGTGCTTTTAGAAATTCTACCTGAGGCGTTCTTCCCATTGGCTCTTTGAACCGATTGAGGAGCCGGAATCTATTGACGTCGCGAACCGGTCCTCACCCAAGGTCAAGTTATCGCCTGACGCATGCGCACACCGGGGAAGTGCCGGTCCGCGGGTGGGGGAAAGGCTGGAAAAAGCGCTCCGCTCCTTTGTATTTATATCGGAGGGTTTGCGCAAGCGTGGTTGTCACTCTTGCGACCAAGAAGGGAAGACCGGTCGTTGTCTCGCAATCCGCCAGCGCTGCTTCGCTCTCCTGTCTTCTCTTCTCTCGTCTTTTCCGGGCCGTTTCCAGGCGGCGGAGGCTCCATGGCGATGAACTACAACGCCAAGGCGGACGGGCAGGCGGGGGCCAGCGGCCTCGGGGCGACCGGCGGGGCGACCGGCGTAGCCGCCGGCAAGAGCCGCAAGCCCGACAACACGGCCTTCAAGCAGCAGCGCCTGCCGGCCTGGCAACCCATCCTCACCGCCGGCACCGTCCTGCCGGCTTTCTTCGTCATAGGCCTCATCTTTATCCCCATCGGCATCGGCATCTTCGTCACCTCCAACAACATCCGCGAGTTCGAGGTGAGTCCTCGGGGATGGGGAGGGGGGAGGGCGGCGGGGCGCCGAGGAGGAGAGGCTGCTGTCGGCGCGGGCCTCTGAGAGTTTGAGAGGCCTCACCTGCCCGGTTTGCGGGTTGCCGTCCCGGTCTGGCCTGCTTGGAGTTCCTTGGAAACGAGCACGGGCTGACGCAGAACTTGGCCGCCCGGGGCTCGACCCGGAGTCCCTCTCTTTCGGTCTCCCAGAATCGGTTCCTGCGGTTGCTGAGGATAGAGCTCTTACTTATTTTGGGGGGGGGGGAGGGGAGAGAAATTGTAGGACACGGGCAGGGCCGCTCACACGCAAGGGGGGGATAACCTGGCGAGGGAACGAGTGGATGCGTGAAGGAATGGACCCTCTCGGGAAATTCCCGTACGGGCTGCTGAGGCCTTGTTAATCGTAGCTTTGTGGAGTGGTCTCACATCAGTGGCGTGTAAAGTGAAGTGTAGGAGTAGTAGGGGGGGTGCCTGGGACCTGTCGGGTGGTGACGCTTCCTGAGGAACAGGGAAGCTCCAGGTTTCACTGAACATCTGCTGTGGGTTTGGGAGGACCTTGAGAAGGTTGTCGTGAGTAGTGTGCATGAGGAATCCATAGGAGTGTTTAGTGTATAACAGAATAACAGAGTTGGAAGGGACCTTGGAGGTCATCTAGTCCAGTGGTTCTTAACCTTTTTGAAGGAATCGCCCCCTTGAGCCAATGAGGAAGTTGTCATCACCCCCTCCCCCAACATAACCTCTCAACCACAACATAGGAACTAATTCTTCAGTTTATCCAAACACTTTTTTTGTTTCCTTTAAAATTGTCATCAGGACATATCGATGCAAATAATTTATTTTCAGTCTTTTTCCCATATCTCAACTGTGTGAAAAAATTTTGGTGGCACCCGTCACTTTATTCCCAAACTTCGTGATACATGTATTTCATTATTATCTTATTTATTCAAAACACTTAAATGTAGTGACTACTGAAAACAAAATTCAATGGCAAGAAAGTGAAATGCCAGAAAAGAAAAACAGTAACATTTAATGATTGAATTACAAGTGAAATTTAAGATGCAAAAAGAAATATAAAAAGGTATAAGAACAAACCGCAATGCAGGAACTAAGAATTTCAAGATGAAAACTCTGAAACTAAATTAAGATTCGAGGAAAGTATATATAGTCATGCACACTGTAAAAAGGATTAAAAAGACACAAAGAAAATATAATATCGAACTGGAGTGCACACTAAAAAAATACAATACAAAATGTTTTACAGAGCCACTCAGCATGCAATGTTTCGAAAGAAGCGCTCCCCCCTCCATCAGATATACAGCGATTCACTGTACAAAAAAGTCTCAAAAGTGTCCCCAAAACTTCTCGCTCCATCGCCCCCATATTGCCCCCTTTTCGGTCCTTCACCCCGTGTCACCCCTTTTTGTTCCATCGCCCCCCTGAAAAATGAAATTGCCCCCTGGGGGGCAATATTGCCCAGGTTAAGAACCACTGATCTAGTCCAACCCCCTGCTCAGGCAGGAAACCCTATACCATTTCAGATAAATGGTTGTCCAGTCTTTTCTTAAAAACTTCCAGTGTTGGTGCATTCACCACTTCTGGAGGCAGGTTGTTCCACTTGTTAATTGTTCTGTCAGGAAGTATCTCCTTAGTTCTAGGTTGCTTCTCTCCTTGATTAGTTTCCATCTGTTTCTTCTTGTCCTGCCTTCAGGTGCTTTGGAGAATATCTTGACTCCCTCTTCTTTGTAGCAGCCCCTGAGATATTGGAAGGCTGCTATCATGTCCCCCCTTGTCCTTCTCTTCATTAAACTAGACCAATACAATTCCAGCAACTGTTCTTTATATGTTTTAGCCTCCAGTCACCTAATCATGTTTGTTGTAGCACACAGTGGCAGAAAACAGCACTCCAGAACCAAACTCTTCAACCTACCCATACCCATTTATGAAGTTTCATTTATTATATGAAAATAATTTAATAAATACTACTTGAGCAAAAGCACCAGAATTAACAGTCCCATTGTCCCTTGGTTAGTCCTATTTACCACTTTGGGAAACTGTGGTCTAGATGTTTAATTTAGAGGAGCCATCTGGGCAAAAGTTTATTTCTTCAAGTCAGTAAGGGAAAACAAGTTGATTTTCCCCAACCCAATTTTATAAAAATAAACAAAATGCATTGAAGCAGAGTTGTCTGTTTTGAGTGTTTTTTGTTATTATAAAACAGTATGTGAAACTGCAGCATTATATGTCAGTAATAAAATCAAATTTTTCACCATTTGATCTTTATGAGACTAAATGACTTCATTTAGATAGTTTCCAGTATTGTGCTATTCTCTTGCTCTTCTTTCCTCTTCTCATTGTGCACTTCAAATTCTGGCTTGAACTTGATTTGTTGATTTTTTTTTCTTAGAATCAATTTTTGATTTCGGGCAACTATTGGACAAGTCCCTGCAGTTTTCTCGGCAAGGTTTTTTTGTGAAGAGGTTTACTATTGCCTCCTTTCTTGGGCTAAGAAAGAGTGATTGGCACAAGATCAGTCAGCCTTCTTTGTGCCTAAGGTGGGACTAAAGCTCACAGCTTCCTGGTTTCTAAGCTGTTGCTTTAACTATTGCATCAAACTAGCTCTGATTATTAAAGAGTGGAAAAAAAATCATTTGCTGTAATTTCAAAAGTTATAATTGGAATGTCTTCAACCTAAGGAGAATGGCACGTTAGCAATAATTGTAACCATGACAGAGGTACTTATGACAGATCCTGTGTGTTTTATAGAGTGTTGAGATTTTGATGATTAATAATATAGAGAACATTGTATTCAGTACAACTTATTCGAAGTATGATTGCAATTTAAAGAGTTTTAGAACAGACTAGCGTTTATCATTCGTCATCTTAGGATTTTCTTTTACACTATGGACTATCCTGTGTGTCCAATTACGTAGATGTGTTTTTTTTTTGATGGATAATGTACCTTGTGTGAAGTCCAGAGGATATGAGCCACCTAAAGTATTATTTTTATGACACTTACTGCAATTGTTGGCACCAGTGAGTTGAGGGGTTATTGTTTTTATTATTTGTATATTGGGTTTTTATTTTTATAAGCTGCCCAGAGTCACTGAGGATGAGTAGGCGGCCATATGAATTTTCATGATAAAGTATTTTCTTCTACTGTTTTTAGTGCTTATTGCATTGTATTTAATTTTAGGTTTATGAATTTTATGACCTCTGATTTTTCCAGTTATATTTTTAAAATGCTGGCTTAGCAAGCTGTCATCGGTAAAAATCGATTATTATTTGAGAGGACATAAAGTTTAAGCCAGCAAGAACTATTAAAGTTGTGTATGAATCTGAAGAGGTGAAAGAACATATTTGGAAATAAAAAGATTGTAAAAACAAATGAGCAAATTCAGCTTTAAGTTTCTATCACTGGAGAACAAAGTACGATATAAGAGGGAAGAGAGGATGAATGGGATGAAATTAACAGTGCAAAGAAATTTGTGATCACGAAGTAAAGCCTTTGGGAATAATTATTAAATTTATATTTATAATAATTTATAATAAATATATATTTAAAAGGTGGATTGCTAGTGGATTTCCTTTCATACAGCAGGCAAAACAAATTCAGAAATAAAATTAAGAGAAGATGAAGCTATTTTCAAAGGTCATCTTGGACTCATTTTATACTGATATTTTAGATGGAAGTCAAGAAAATAAATGAAAGTCTTACGTAATATATCTTATCTTTTACATAATAGAAATCTGATAAATAAGCAAAATGGAATAAGCTCATCAGAATTCTGATGTTTAGATCTTACGAGTATTAACAGGTGACAGAAAACAATGCTATGTTTTTTGTGGGGATTAGCAGTTACATGAGCATCTGAAGTTTTTTTTCCTGCACTTAACATTTTTTGAGAGACAAATAGTTCAGGAGGCTGGTGTTGCCTGAGATGTATTTGAGAATGGTATCTGTGGAAGGAGACTACTTGTCAACAGGATATATTTTTGTGTAAAACAATTGATTAATCCTGGTGATATTTTAGACTGATAGTTCTGAGAGCATCAGATGAACAACAGTGTGCTAAATTGTGGGAGAAATTTCACTCCTGACAGTGGCTTCCCATTTTCCTGTGGCTATTAATTTTGAAGTTTTTAATTATCTTTACTATTTCTCTTGCCTGTACTCTTATCTAGCTAATAAGTGACTTTACCACAAATACCTGTTATTCCTTTTTTAACCATGGAAGCAGACTTGAATTGCAAATAACAACAAAAACAAGATTCTTAAATTAGGCATATCGCTAAATATAAAGCAAATCCTTTACCATATCAACAAATGAGTTAGGAATTCCTTTTTGTGTACTTTTAAAGTATATAAAATAGGCTTTCATGTGACGTGTGAAAGATTTTTCAGAGGGAGTATATCACCTTTTCTATCTAACCAAATCTGGCTTATATAATTCATTGGTTCCTGGTATTTGACAGGGATGCTGTAGTGCTGATGTAAAGATCTAATATATATATATATATATACAACTTTGCTACCTGCAACAGTATGTGTATCGTGTATTCTGGAAGAAATTCAGAGTGTTAAAGCAATTGCACCCAAGTCTTAGCATGACATGGAGTTTACCAGTAAAATGGTTGTATGTGCAGACATGCTGCAAACAGCAATATGAACTTGCAGAGAACATGCATAAAGCTGTTTGTTAATGCTCCCATATATAAACCATTTTTGAGGGCTTTGTGTAGCCATATAAAATAACAATGATAGTGAGGAAATGTTAGGTGGCAGCATCCAATTAAAGAAATTGTTCTTTTTCAGTGTAAATCTTTGAATATTTTTAGAATTCCAAAAGTCAGCCTGAAATGTATGTATGTCTTTGGTGCATTCGGTTCCATTAATCATTTTCTAAAAATAGGCAGCTTTTGATGTCTTAAGAACAAAAAGCTTCTTCTTAAACTGTCAATGCAGAGAAATTTGCTCCATTATTGTTGCTGTAATAAAAAGATTCTAAGAGGTAATATTCATTTATCAGTTTGTGTTTGTTGTTCTCTTAATTCAGTAAACATTGTATATGCTTTTCCTTATTTTCCAGTAGCATCTGCTAACTCTTTTTTCTTCCCTCCACCTTATTCCTGTCTTCCTTTTTTTCCATTACAGATTGACTACACAGGAATAGATCCAAATAGTCCCTGCAATAAATGTTTAAATGTATCTTGGAATGCCTCACCCTGCCACTGTGTCATTAACTTCACATTGGATCAGTCGTTTGAGGTCTGTTATACTCTTATCTGTCTAGCTTTGTCTAGTATTGCCTTGCACTCTTTCATTCTAGCAAAATAAATCAAGGAATAGCTGAAAAAAAAGAAAGAGAAATGGAGGGTCATGGAATGGAAAGTCAAATCTCAGATCTAAGTCCCATTGAGATTCTGTAGGATGATTTAGGATTGGGTTGTGCATACAGGAAACTCAAACATCAGATGGCTGAAATCTGCATCCGGATGTACGAAAAAGTTCCTCCCAGTCAATTTCAAAGACTGGAAGACAGTTATAAGAAATAACTACTTGAGGCTGTTATTGCTAAATGGAACAATACCAGATATTAGAGCCACGGGTATACTTATTTTTCCCACAGAAGGAAATGGCATATCTCTTAACTTCTTTAATAAATGATTGCCAAATCAGTTTTTCCTAGCTTTTGTGTTCAGTTACATCACTTTTATATAGTGAAGATACAATATTGATAGGTCCACGTTGGTTTTAAAAAACCCTTTATTTTTCATATGACTGTAAATATATGAATGAAGGAAAATGATCCTTCTGTTCCTGTGTAGCTCCGAAGTAGAATGCCTTCATAATAAATCTAAAGCATACAGGAATGGACAGGATACAAGCAGGATAAATTGATAAAATAATTGAATCTAAAGTCAATAGGTATGTGGAACATTTGTGTAATTTTAGTTGAACTAATAAAAGTGTGGAAACTTATATTTTTACAATGGTTACCTTTCTTCCTCAAGAAATCTTTATGCACTGAACCTACATGAACTAGTTTTTTTATTAATTTATTGTAATAAAAATTAGGTCTAGAATAATGTTAAATGCATGTGCTTTTCACTATTGCTTTGCTTTCTTTATAGCTTTATTATTTTTCTTATCCCTGTATTTCTATGGGTAGTGCCCAGTGTAGAAGGTACCAGAAAAATCCTACCAAAAAATCCTGCTTTGTATATTTTGTATTAAACTATCCATGCAAAAGTTTTCCACACCCTGGTGGGTTCATGTTCTACAGCTTACTGGTCTCCTGTTACCAGCAAAGCCAGAGTTTTAAGTTTAGCAACAGACTTAAAAAATCTTACCCAGATGAATAAATAAGGCATGAATTCTGAAAACCTAGTGAAACTACTGCTATACCTAACTACGTGAATGTTATAGTCAGTGAAACATCCTAACTTATTTTTTTTAGGGCAATGTATTTATGTACTATGGATTATCCAACTTTTACCAAAATCACCGTCGCTATGTAAAGTCTCGGGATGATAGCCAGCTAAATGGAAATAACGTTTCTTTACATGTAAGTAAAATTCTTTGCGTATGTCGTCATGATGATTTCCCAAAAATGGGTTTTTAAATATGGATATTTTTGTGCATGTATCTGTGTGTATTAGAGATTGCTGCATTGTTTTCTCATACATCTTCCTTCTTTTGAATTTTGCTCTAGTTATACGTCTAAGTAGGTCCTTCATTACTGTAAACAGAATAATGAATTGTGAATAGGTCTAGATCTTCAAGAGAAAGTTTGGGATATCTACAAAAGAGTGTAAAAATAGGAAGAAGCCTTGCTGAAGAAGTTAAGTCTGTTAGTATAAATTTGAACATAGCTTGAAATAAATTATGTATTAGTCATTTGGCTCTAGCCCAAGCTTATAATAAGAAATTATTATAACAGAAACAAACATTACCCCATTGATCAGTGGCAAGAAATAGATTTAATGACAAATTTAATGACAAATATTTTACATGAAAACATGTTACAAAAGGTATTCTTGCACTCTAGATTTAATGTGATTATACTGAGCATCTTTACTTTCATAATATCAAAATTGACTTTCTTTTTTTTTTAATTACTTAGAAACCTAGTAAAGAGTGTGAACCTTACCATACGAGTGAGAATAAACCAATTGCTCCTTGTGGAGCTATTGCCAACAGCATGTTCAATGGTATGATATTTTTCAAAGTATATTATGACACAACATTGTACTTCTGAATTGTGTTTTGTTAAAGTAAAAACAAAGAATGTTCATGAAATCCATATAGTTCCTCCCTACACCAACTTGAATGCTCATTCAGTTCAGAGAGTATTAAGTTAGACAAGTCATTAGCCAGACTTGGTATAAGACATACCCATCCTTATAACATGACTGGCATGCTAATTTCACCAAAGTGAAGGCTGATGGAACCACCCCCTCCTTCAATAAAGCCAGTATTATTTTATGGGTCCCGTCAGGAGTTGTTTTAAATTTGTTCATGCAAGATCATACCTCCCTTCTAATGGACTTCAAGTTCATATTTATTTAACATACTTTTTAAACATGTGTGTGACTAAAAAGGAAAAACAGGCCACTGAGTTTTCACATTTTTGTACATTCTGTACTTTGATAATTTATTTTGATAGCCACATCGTGCCTTATGACAGTTTGCAGAATCACTTGGAAATACATCGTTTCATTTCATAACCAATGTACTTACTTTTGCATAAAACAGAAGTATATAAATTATTAATAAAACCTAGACACTGATTAGATTTTAATTATTTTTCTTTTTAGATACATTGACACTTGTTCGTTATGACCACAATACCTCTAAGCCCAAAACTATTTCTCTGCTGAGAAAAGGCATTGCTTGGTGGACAGACAAAAATGTTAAGTTCAGGAATCCTACTGGTGAAACAAATAACTTGACAATACTTTTTCAAGGTAAAAATATAACCAGTGGCTAATTGTTTATATATTATTGTGCAACAATTCTCACTGGGAACTTCTTGGAATGGTGTCATTAAAATGGCTGAAATTTATTTTATTTTCATTATGGGTTTTTTTTAAAAAAAACATATGATTTTAAAGTGCAAGTAGGTAAAATATGTGTGACTAGATATATGTTCACTACTGAAACAGCACAGTTACTTTTAGAATTTTTTCTTGGATTGCCATGTGCATTCCTTTTTCAATCTCCACGTTCACAACTTTTTCATAACTCTTTAAACTGCTGTTTCCAGTAATTACGGATGTGTCAGTAATTTTGATGGAAGGAGTAAAATATACTTGGCCAAGCATGTCTGCTACTTAAAATTACAGAAGATGTCCTCAAAGGAGGGTGGGAATGACCATACATAATATTGAATCATAACTCCTAGTATTTTTCATCAAGGCTATAGGGAGGTAAAAAAATATTATCGTTTGTAAAACTCTAAAGTGCCCCCTGGCTTTGCAAAAGAAGTTACTCTTATTTACTGTGTTGCTTTTTCTTATTGGAAACAAGACTGTCGCACATGGTTTGAGTTTTTACATGGGTAGCTTGAAAAATGTTTTTAGTGAAATGCGTAAACATCTTTTTCTGAAGATAAATTATCTTGACTAATTTCAGTGTTTGCATTTTTTTGAAGGAACATCAAAACCTGTCAACTGGCGCAAGCCAGTGTATTTGTTAGATTCTGATCAGGAGAACAATGGATTCATCAATGAAGACTTTATTGTATGGATGCGTACTGCAGCACTGCCTACATTCCGTAAGCTGTATCGTCTTATAGAGAAGCAAGATAACTTACAACCTACTCTGCCAGCTGGGAAATATTCTTTGGAAATAGAATATAGTATCCTTTATTGAACATTGTAAGGGGCTAAGTGTATCATTCACCCAAAGGAACAGAGTGAGTGGGAAAAGGTTGTAGGACTACATGGTGGGGTATTTGTTTAAATTTGATATATTTTATTTAATATTTGATTGTGTGGAATGGAAATAGTGTAGATAATTACAGTAGTGGCCAAAATTTTGGAAAAAGTGTATTTTTGAGGTTTGATGGCTAATAACACCACTTTTTTTGGAGAGTTTCATAAAATTATATATCAATGGAAAGATAATTTAATCAAGAATGTAATGCTACATAGTTATAGCCAAGTAACCAGAAAAAGGAAGCACAACTTGCTTAGATTGATATCAGGTAGTTTTCCTTCATTTGATTGTAGCCAATGAATGTGTGTGTTTAGAGAGGTAATCAGGTGTCATCTTGTTTTGGCAATGAGCCAATCAGATCACAGTAGGATTCAGTTATTGATGCCATATATTGAAGCTGACAGGAGGACATTTGTCAGTGTGTTATGTGATCGCTATCAAGTTGGGGTTTTTTTCTTTCATTTAGTGAGCTTGTAAAACGTAATAAAATTAAAGTAATGGTGCAAAGAGTTGACTGGTTGCCCAGAAAGCAATGTAAAATAGTATTATTAAGTGAACAAGGCTACAGTTATAAAGAAATTAGAAGAAAAATTGGTGGAAACTTAACCAAAGGTGGCATTTCTACTGTACACTTTCCCCAAAAGGTTTCCACAATTTTGGTCACTACTGTACCTGGTTTTAGAATCATTCGTATTCCCAATCAAGGAAAATCTACATATATGGAAGATTGCAATAACATAATGCTGGGAAAAGCCATAAGTGAGTTGGTTGGTGTTTATAGTGGTGCACTCCTTTGTATCATTATTGCAAGAGGTGAATGGTACAGAGGTAGTGTTTAGAAGCTAATTCTGAGTCCAACGACCAACTCCATACTGTATTGAGTTAAAAGCCTGTGGAGATTTTCTTTAGTTAAAGTTTTTAAGATTGGATGTTGTTCATTCGTAAGGAGATTGATTCACTAGCCCCGCTGACCTAAAATCTCAAATTAAAGGCTCACCAACCTTCAATAGATTCAAATTCAATTATTGCTGTCCTAATGAGAATATAGCTACCTTATCAAAACAATCCTTGAGTATTACCTCAATTTTAAAAAACATCTGCAACTAGTATACTTGGCTTTGCTTTTTTTTTAAAAAAAAAAAACCAAATCATTAGTTAGCCTACAATATTTTGTATAGCAGAATAGCTTTGTAATAAATGGATTGATTATACCATTTTGTATTGCTACCCTTTTTTGTTTAGGCTGATTTTTAATATTATGCAACTTCAATATTTCTGTATGCTTTTCCTATGCATACGTCAGATTATCCTGTGCACAGCTTTGATGGGCGGAAACGGATGATCCTGAGCACCATTTCGTGGATGGGAGGCAAAAATCCATTCCTGGGAATAGCGTATATAACAGTGGGCTCCATTTGTTTTTTCCTTGGAGTAGTGCTGCTTGTCATTCATCACAAATACGGAAACCGGAACAATAGTGCAGACATTCCCAATTAATCTAAATGCTCCAAATCACATGTACTGCATGTGCATCAGGGCGAGTCCAGAGTGGACACAGCTTTTGAAAGCTAGATCCCTGGTAGTTGCTTCTGAGACAGAATACATAACCATATTTGAAGCCTTCAGTTCCCTCGCGGTGGATTAATCTGAAGACAACAGCCATAAAACAATGCTGACGAGGGGCTTTTTGAAGTTTGCTTCTTGCTGGACAGGTGCCATGATGCGCATAGTCTTTCCTCGCCTAATGCATCTGCTGCTCGTTTGTATGCTTTATATGTCAATACTGTACAGCAAGAATATGTTTAGAATAGCTTTCTTAGCATTTTAAGGACCCAATGGTGTGCTGGTTTTTAGAAGGAAAAAAAAAAGCCTGTCTAGGTTTTGTCAACCAAAGTATTTCACAGATGAGCTTTGTAACTCATGTACAACTCAATATGAATTAAGCCCAACTTCCTGCTTAATGTTCACAATTCAATAAGTATGTTTTGACATGTGAACTGGTTCAACTAAAAGCCTGCTTTTTGCCCAGTGACATGAAAGCTGCTTTCAATATAGAAGTAACTGGCATAAAAAAAACCTCTCCCATTATGTTCTGCTTAAATATCCATCTTATGTTCAGCACCCTATATGGCTGGAATCATTGAGTTTATTCCAATAGAAGTAAAGAGATTTATTTACTGTGTCAATAAATAAAAAATATTTCTTTTGGTTAAAAAAAGCAAGGCTTTAAGAATTTCAGATGCTATAGTTCACCCAAAGCTCTTGTGTTCCTCAAATATTACATAGATATAAGCTAAAAGTTGCTGTGGTGGAATGTGGGAACTTTTGCATCTTGCACACTTTAAGTCCAATCTGTCCACATTGTAAGAAAACAGACCAGGGACTTTAAAACTATGTATATATACATATATATATATATGTCTCTCTCTATGTGTATATATACATATACGTATATATACATATTGATACTAATATATATAAAATTGCTGTGTACATAGATGTTGTTTTACATGAAATTTGCTTGTCAATCTGAATGTTTCCTATTTAATAAATGGTATCATTTGTTTTATGAAACAGTATGGTTATCTGAAATATATCTCCTTAAAGCAGCTTAATTTATCTCTGGTGGCTGTCAAAAAGGACTTGAAGAGAGTAACACAGAATTCACTTTGGAAGTTGTGATACATCACAAATCTGGAACTTAACTAAGTAAAATCTAACCGATTTTCCCCCTATTCAAGCAACTTCCATAGACAAAACTTTGTCTATACCCAAAATACTTCTTGCATGCACATGTTTTTTTTCCAGCGCCTGTAATGTACAAATTAATAGCTACTACCACCAGATTATGGATTTTGAATGAGTATTCATCAATGAAAGGTATTTTACTGGCAAAGGATAGTCATGCTAATTATAGTATCCACCTTAAATTATAACAGAAAGCAGACAGTACAGGCTTTTTTAACTGTGTTACTGTATTATATAACTGGTTTCACACAAAGTAAATGGATTTAATATGAATTAGCTCCAGGTATATTAGTAGGACTAAACTAGTTTGAATGAAGTATTCAATCCTTAAACTTATATTTTTTTCAGTCCAAGCGTCTGGAACAGCTACCTAATAGTATAGTATATCTACAGTACTTGAAATCAACAAAGCTGATTTCCCTCATACCATCACCAACTTAGTTGATTTTGGTGATGGTAATGGGGGAAATAAGTTCATCTATTTACTAGCCTATCTTAACAGGCAAGAAATCTCTTATCTTCATATAAAATAATCTTCAACATTGATTGTGCCAGCTTCCTCAATTGTCTTAACCCTCTTAAAATTGACAGCTCTTTCAAACATGCCTATTAAAAACTTGCTGCCTTCTATTAAAGCTGTTTCCTACAGTAAGAAAAGTAATTATCTTAAAAGCTTGTTGTAAATACAAACTTATAGACCCTGAAGGATTTACTTTTAGAAAAAAATATTTTTACCAAGAATAAAAACTTAACTTGACAAAAAAAAAAGATTTTGTATTAGCTGATCTTTCTCTTGTAACTATGGTCAACTGGCAGTCATGCTTACTGAAAACATCTGGTAGAAAAAAACTGAAGGGTGAATTCCAACAGAACAAGAGAATTTTCTTATAAAACTAGTACAATTTGATCACAATATTCATTCACAACTTGGCTACTTTGTCACCTATTACATACTTAAATACTTGCCATGTTTACATTAAGCATAGTTTGACTCTTGCACACTGCCAGGACAAGATTACCCATTCACAATATTAGTAGAGGAGTTATGCTTGCAGGAACGGATTGGCACTATGCAGCAGTCTGATTCAAAGGGGAAAAGACAATTTGAAGTACATGAGTGTTGACACAGCCCCTATGGGCAACTCATGAGGCCTTGGAAAAAGTCATTTTGATTTAAGGAAATGCCAACAGGTACTGTACATGCAACCTCACAGCACTCTGTAACCCTTAGAATCTGAATCATTGCACAGTCCCTTTTTTATTAAGGAAATATTCTATTCAAAAAAAATCATGCTAAATTATTAACTACTGAAATGGGCAAGTTAAGCAGTGACAACCAATATTCTATTAGAGAGCTAAAAAGAAAAATTCAGCACAAGGCAGATTCTTCTAATAATGAGGCAACATTAAAAATTAGAAAATTGGAAAAAAATGGAAATGTTACCAGTTCCTGCAATCAAATTACTTGGATTATTTTATTCCAAAACAAGCTCTATATAGCAAGTAATGCTATAAAACCGACCCATTTCCTTGAACTGCAAGAGAGTTCAAGAAATCACCAACTGAATAATGACAGAATAAATAGGTTAGATACTAAATGCAACATTGGGAGAAAGTCACTTCTTCTGTTAAAATGAGTGCACTGAGCATGAATAATATACAAGGATGTTATGGAATGACTTAAGGCGCTTTTAAATTTGTTCAAATAATTTAAGATTCTGCTATCAAACTCGCCAGGTCACATGACGTGTTGCGATGTATCGTGACTTTTTTTTTGCATTGCCGGAGCTGGCACGGCCTCTGTGTGATGCAACCAGCCCGTGGGCCAGCAGTTTGACACCGAAGTTAACAGAATCAGACTTTTCTAATGCTGTAATCTGAAATACTACTTAATGAAAAAATAGCTTTTGATTTTACAGCATGATGCATCCTTGTTTAAATACCGCACAGTCAAACAACTTCACCACTAATTCTTTCACACATTTTCTTTTAATCTTGTTCTAGAAGAACTTGTAGGGACAGTTCAGTGGGAGGCATGCACAATAATACGCACATTATATGGACACTTCTGTATTCAATGGGACATGTAGTGCTTCAAATTTGGTGACAGAAGGTGGGGCACATGGGGATGCGAGCACAGGAATTGGTCTGCAACTCTTTACCCTACACATCTTTTCCCAGGTAGTGCAGTAGCTGTAGATAAGGCAGTGCTTGTGCATTTAAGGAAACAGCTTGTGCTTTAAGGAGTGACAGGCATCTGCTTTTGCCTTCATATTTGAAACAATGAATAGCCCTAGTAAGTACAGCTAGGATTATAATGTGTATGTCATCTTCGAAAAATGGCAGTGAATGAATTTGAATAATTCTGTGCATTACTACTTGGCAAAATTATTTTTGATCTTAATTTTGTTAATGAATGTCCTAGTTTTAGGTATGAATTGGCTACCTGTATATCCAGTTTAGTAACCTTAATTTTTTTTCCTTCTCTGTACCATTGTGTATACATATAGCATTTGACACCAGAGATAAATTGCAGTTACGCTATCATACTTTGCAGACATGGGGATGGAAGGGCAATATAATACCCCTAGGTTATATTGCTGCCCACCTAGCCTCCAACTTTTTTGAAGGTTATAAATCATGAGAAAATGGCATTATCTTCATATACAAAAGTCCAAGTGCGACCAATAAACATATCTAGAAAATGAAAATAGTGGATGGATGGAATCAAGCATTTGCCTGTTTAGGCCATCAATCTAGGGGAAAAAATGACATCTCGGCATAAAATCTTATCTATCTGCATTCTATTAAATATATATTCTCCATTAAGTTGGGCCAAGCTCAGCATAGCAATCACTTTTGCAAATATAGTTCTTGGCAGCCATTCTATTTTTTAAATAATAGTAATTTTTTTTTTAAAAAAAAATCGGAGCCGATTCTTCTGATGGGTCCCATATAAGGGTTCTACATTTCTTCGGGTTTCTTCTCCCAGTGACAAGTACCACAGGATGAAAAGAAATTCGCTTTTGAAGCAGGCGTTTCGGACTCAATGACCTCGTTCGAATTTCAGAAAAAGCCGAGGTGGGCGCCCTTCGGGTTTATTAATTATATAACACTGCCGACTTTATAAATGGCCTCTCATTTGGTTCCGAAAGTTTTACACTCGTTTTACACCACCAAACAAACAGAGAGGAGAAAAATGAAAAATAAAAACGCCCTTTAGTACTCTTTCCGGCCGCAACCCCTCCCCTCCTCTCCTCTTGCCCTCCCCCGCCTCTCTGTTCACCTCACTGGCCATCGATGTCCCAAAGCTAGAGCGACGCTCCTTTGCCGCTTCCGTCTTTTAGCGGAAGTTTGGCCGCGTGACGTCACACGGCGGGGACCGCGCCGTACTTCCCTTTTACCCTTGTCCTTGGTGGTTGTCGGCGGAGGCGAGGGAGGGATTGGTGGCGCTGTCAAGATGATGTTTCGAACCCTTTTGGTACGTGAGTCCGGCAGAGGGGGGGGGAGGGAGGGACACGTTACCCTGGGGAACCGTTGAGATGAGAGCAGCCGTCAGGGACGATGGCGGAGCTTTGGAGAAAAGCTCCTGGCTAGTGACAGCGGTTGGTATGTGTATGTGGGGGGGGGGGGGAATCCTTTTCTTTTTTAAAAAAATGTCCGCCTTTCCGCCTGTGTTGGGGCCTGAGGGTCAAGACTGCTCCTCTCTACTCCGCTCGACAATAACGGTATGAAGCCGGGTGGTTAACCACAGAGAGGACAGCTGGCCTGAAGGTGACTCAGGCGGTGCAGATTTTTCTGGTGGCTTCCCGGTCTTGGTCCAGCGCTAATGGTTGGCAAGTACAGCTTGTCATGGGGTGCGGGCTGAAAGAAGAACGTCCCGCATTGATTGTCTCAAAGATTGAACTTAAAACAATTAAGATATATATAAACTAAAAACTATTGATAATTGTAGGAAAGTTATTTCTTATTTGACTGATAGAATAAGAAGTGTATTAATTCAATATGAGACAGCACATATTAAGGGGAAAAGAGGAAATATCTATTGTAATAGTTTGAGATTTGTATTAATGATATTTGCATGTAATTGAATTATAGCAACTCAGCCCTATGTTGTTTTTCAAAGATATAAATATGTTAGAAAATCACTAAAACTTTCAAAAGATGAAGAGCGTCCCGGTGTGGATAGTTGGGGAGCGTAGCGCGAATCAGGCTTCTCTCCCATTCAGGGAGTACAGGTGGCCCTCGACTTACCACAGTTCCATTTAATGACCGTTCAAAGTTACAAAGGCACTGAAAAAAGTGACTTAATGACTGTTTTTTTCCACGCTTGTTACTGTTGCAGCATTCCCAGGGTCGTGTAATTTACATTTAGCTGTTTGAACAATGGTTCATATTTATGATGGTTGCCGTGTCCGAGGGTCATGTGATCCCCTTTTGTGACCTTCTAACAAGCGAAGTCAATGGGAAAGCCAGATTAACTGAACAACCGTGTTACTAACTTAACAACTGCAGTGATTCGCTTAACAAATGTGGCAAGAAAAGTTGTAAAATGGGGCAAAACTCACTTAACAAATTTCTCACTTAGCAACACAAATTTGGGGCTCAGTTATGGTCGTAAGTCGAGGACTGCCTGTACTTGTCTATCCCTTTGTTAGGCTGATACAGATTAAGATGTGGTTTGAAAGCTAACAGGATTCCGAGGGCTGTTAAATGTAAGATGCTACAGTAAGGCTAAATATATATAAGAATGATTATTCCCAGCAGTAAAAATAATGGGTGATCCTATTTTTTCAAAAGATGCTATGCTAATTTTGAGAAAAGTTAGTGTAAACTGTGATACTCATGGATGCAGCCTGTAGACCCTTTGTAAATGATTTTGATGACAGTAGAGATGAAAATTATGGACATTATGCTATCCATGTAGAAGGCTTTATGTGGATATTCAGTATGCACATAGAGCCTTCCTCTACTATTGTTTTTGTTGCGATCACTGCAACTCAGTTAGCATATATTGTAACAGCATCCCACAATTTAATGTTATTTTCTTATTTAATTTATTCAATTTATATGCCATGCATCTCACCTTCAGGTATCTGTTATCATAGTTAACATTGTTAGGTTAAGTTATTAGTAGGTTTTAGGGGGAGGTGGTTTGTACTTCTGCAGATGCGGCTTTTTAAAAATTATAATAAATAATCAAAATATAATATAGCATCAGCCTTTATATATTACTGCTGTCATTAATTAGGGTGGGTTCATGCTAGAGTCTCTGCACTGACTTTGTTACACCCACAAAATATATATTTGTACTTCTGTTGTAGGCTGTACGGCAAGTAACACAAAACCCCATAAACTTTGCCTCTCGCAGGCAGCTTGCAAACAGGATTTCTGAGAAGCAGAAACATTTTCAGGTATTTGCTGATTATCTTCCTACTTTTAGAACAGATAAATGTAATGGAGCATTGGTATCATTCCTGCACATTGTTTATGTAAAATTAGCTGATTCAAGATACTTTATCAGTAGTTATTGAGTAATAAAGCCATAATACAGCTTCTTTTTTAAATTTGTATGTTTGGTTGTTATGCTATTCCAAAATCCTGAATTATATTGAGATGAATATATGTATAACTATCAGTGTGTATGCATGTCTTTGTATGTATAAATAAACTTTTAGGTAAGAAAAATTTAGGCTTCTAAATTATAAGGGTACTCAGTGAAAAAGTTAATGCAGCAATTTTAATTCATTGTTTTACAGTTATTAGGTATCATAAGCAAGAATTAAAACTAGGCTCATTTAGTCAGTTCAGTAGTTAGCTATGCTTCAGGGTTGGCTCATTATGAATTCCTGTATTGCTGTTAAGTAACTGAAATATTAATGCTGTTTATTCTAGAATTTACATACTAGCGAGAAGTCCCCATGTCACAGTGTGAACATTGGCAGTTGGATGTACTTTTACCATTAAGGACAACTGCAGTAGAATGAGAGAGGGATAGAAAAGTGGAGGATTTTATGATTCTTTTGCTATATACCACTATTTACCGCTATTGGGAACTTCTGTGTACAAAAAGTCACTCTTTTCTCAGGGCTCGTCACTAAAAACTGCCCACTCTATTGCTATGTTAACACACTCCTTCCCTCTCTGTATTTGGTTTGGAGTGTAGTTTGTCTTTCTATATGGGGTTTTGTTTCTGTTCTGCCATGAGAAGCCGCCTTTTTATTATTTTATTTATATAAAACAGCTGGATAGTGTACTGGTTAGAGCACTGCTCTTTTATGTTGGAGACCAGGGTTCGAATCCTAACGGGTATCTACCTAGCCAGTAGGGTCCTTGGGCAAAGACCCCTTAACATTCTCTTGCCAATCTCAGATATGAGAGAGACATGAACTGAGTCATAGTGGTTTGGACTTTGCCTGCATTAATAAGGTCGGCATCTGCACCCGCAAAGAGAAAACAAATACTAACAAAATTAGCCAAACAACATATAGATATAGTTTGTTTACAAGAGGTACACATCAAAGAACAACACAGGAAATATTTAGAGTTCCCCAAATTAGGAGTATTATATACAGCACTAGCTGAACAAAAACAGGATTAGCAGTTTATATTAGAAAAGAAATTAATGCTAAATTGAGGTACCAAGATACAGATGGAAGAATAGTAGCAATAGAAGTACAAACCGAACAGAAATCATGGCTGCTAGTGGTAATATATGCACCAAATGAGAATCAAAAATAATTTTATTACAAATTACATGAGAAGCTTATAGAAATTGGATAGGGAAATATTTGTATGGTAGGAGATTATAATGTGGTAGTGGACATAAAAAAAGACTATATTAGTGATATGAAAAATAAAAAGAAAAGGAAAATACTACCAAAGATATTTTTTGATTTGGCACATAAATTTAATCTATCTGATCAGTGGAGGAAGAGGAATCAAAAAAAAAAAGAATATACATTTTTTTTCAAACCTGCATAAATCTTGGTTTCAAATAGACATGGTATGGATGAATGAAGAAGCAGGGCAAGACATAGAGACAATAGAAATAAAGCCAAATATATGGGCCGACCATAATCCTTTGGAAATAATTTGGAAAGGGCAGAAAAAAGTAAGAAGAAGATGGATAATGAACTCTCTCACATTTTGAAAGAAAAAGAATTTATAGTAAAGATTAGAAGGGAAATGGAATTTTTTTTCAAAGAGAATACAAAACAACAATCATCAGTAGAAATTATCTGGGACACTGCGAAAATGTATTTAAGGGGCTTAGTAATAGCTTATATGGCAAGAAAAAACAAGGTGAAAAGGCAAACACAAAATATACTCCAGGAAGAGATTAAAAAATTGGAATCTAAATTAGAAAAAGAGCCCCATGATGAATTGATTAAAATGGAAATGGTTTTGGCTAAACATAAATTAAACGTGATAGATCAAGAGGAAAGAGCAAAAAAATTGAAAATAGCAAAACAAAACTTTTTTGAACACGCAAATAAACCTGTGAGATGGCTCTCTTATAAATTAAAAAAAGAGAAGGAGAAAAAAATTATTCAGGAACTAACTACACGACAAAAATGGAGAGTCACAATACAAAATGGATAAAAAGAAAGAAGTAATTCAGAACTATTTTGAGTCACTATATAAAAAAGAAGAAACAGATGTGGAGAGTATTAAACAATACTTAAAGGTTAATGGTTTGCCAGAATTAAAAGAAGGACAGAGAGAAATATTGAATGGGAAAATAACAGCCTCGGAATTAAAAACTGCGGTAGAAAAACAAAAAAATAATAAAATCCTGGGACCAGATGGCCTTCCAGGGGAAGTATACAAGACTCTTTACGAGGACTTTGAAAAGATATTATTGGAGGTGTATAATGATGTGTTGGAGAAAGCTAAATTACCAGACTCCTGGATAGAAGCCACCATATCCCTTATCCCAAAAGAAGGCACAGACCCCAAACAGATCAAAAATTACAGGCCAATCTCGTTGTTGAACACTGATTATAAAATTTTTACTAGCATAATTGCAGAAAGATTGAAACTAATATTACAGGAGATAATACACCCAGATCAAAATGTTTTTTTTACCTACAAGACAAATTAGAAATAATACGAGAATGGTGTTAAATGTCTTAGAATATTACAAAGCACATCCGGGAAAACAGATAGCACTAATTTTTTTAGATGCTCAGAAAGCATTTGATAATCTCAGTTGGCAAGTTTTTGAGGAATTGGATAAAATAATAAACAAATTTATTTGGTCAGGCAAAAAAGCACAGATAAACATGAAAATATTACAAGATAGTAGAAATAGAGGTGGACTTGGGCTCCCAAAATGGGAAATTTACTATCAAGCAGCTAGACTGCTCTGGATCAAGGATTGGATAAACCTAGATAATAAAAGGGTATTAATGATTGAAGGGTATGATTTACAGGCTGGTTGGCATGCCTTTCTATGGGGGAAACATAAGAAAACACACACATATTTTTATCAACATCAGATAAGAGATGCATTGATTCGGACGTGGGAAAAAGTTAAAAAAAAGACACTATAGGAAAATCCCAAATTGGATTTCACCGATGGAGGCAATGATCCATCCTAACACTCTGGATAAAAAAAAGATGATCAGATACAAAGAACTATTAGATAATCAAGGAAACCTCAAATTAAGAGAAGAATTAGAAGAACAAGGAATAACCATAGACTGGTGGCCATATTTACAGATCCAATCTAAACATAATAAGGATAAGGAAGAGCACGGAATAAGCCAGACCCTACATCAATTGGATAAAATTTTATCAGGTAAGGAAGGAAAATTTTTAACAAAAACTTATAAATATTTATTAAATGTAGATTTGAAGGAAGAAATAGTGAAAGGGCCAATGATAGTGTGGGCACGAAATGTGAGTCGAAATATAAAACTGGAAGAATGAGAAAGATTATGGAACATAAATTGCAAACTGACACTGTCAACTGCATATAGGGAAAATCAATACAAAATGTTCTATAGATGGCATTTAGCACCGGCAAGATTGGCCAAAATGTACAAAAATATGAATCCGGAATGCTGGAAATGTAAAAATAAGGAAGGAACGTTTTATCACATGTGGTGGCTGTGCCCTAAAGCAAAGACCTATTGGGAACGGATAAGGAACTGGATACAGGAGATAACTAAGGTGCAAATTGAACTCAAACCGGAACTATTTCTTTTGGGTATAAAAAATTTAAAGATGGAAAAACAACTCCAATATCTTTATACATATATTAACAGCAGCCCACATAGTATATGCCCAATGTTGGAAGGATGAAAACATATCTACAAATGATATGATTATATACAAAATTCTAGAATGCGCGGAAATGAATAAACTTACACTAGAATTAAAAGACAAAGAGGCAACAGAATTTTATGAAATATGGAACAAATGTTATAATTGGCTAGAACAGAGAAAGAAAAAGATATGATTACTGATTTAAATAAATTGTAAATAATATATATGAGATGTATAACACAGTTCTGTTAAAGGAAAAAAATGTATTTTTTCATTATTATTTTTTTGTATAGTGAAAAAAGAATAAATAAAAATTAAAAAAAAATAAGGTCGGCATCAGATGTTGGGGAACCAAGATAATCTGACAATAAGTGGGCACCTGGAACAAATCATACAGGGATGAGAGAAGAGAATCTGGAATTAATGGATTACTACTACAAAGTAGACTTAATAAGAGAGATACATGAAACATATGAAGGAATATGAATAGACAGAAGATTACTAAATGAAGCCTCCAGCTACCAGATTAAGGAGATACACTTAAGCAGAAACCAAGAAGATAAATATCCTGTTCTCCAAAGATCCATTCAAGTTGTGATGACTCAGCAGTTCCTCACAATGTGCAGAGATGTACACCAGCCAGTAAGAGGGCAGGATCTGGTGAGTGTCAAAGCCATGTCCTGACCGAAACCTAGAGAACCAGGGATACATCAGAAAGATAGCACCCAAAGATGAGCTGGTGAAAGAATGCCTGAGGTAGCAGCAGACATGGGAGAAAAATCAAGCAAACAAAGTGCCTTGTCAAGCCAAGATCAATCAACCAGATATCATGGCAGTAGACAAAGACCAAAAGACAACCACCACGGTGATAGATGTAGCAGTGTCAAGTGAAAGCAACATCAGGAAGAAGAAGTATGGGAAACTGAATAAGTACTAAGGCCCAAAGGAGGAAGTAGGGAGGATTGGAAAAATAAAGCCCAAAGTGGTGCCAGTAGTGGTAAGAGCACTCGGGCTGTGACTCCTACGCTGGGAGAGTGGCTCCAATAGATCCCATGAACAACATCAGAGGTCTCTGTTCAGAAGAGGGCCATGCTAGGAACAGCTAAGATGACTGCACAGAACCCTCAAAGTTCCAGGACCGAGATTGTTGAAGACTTATACTGAATTCATAATAGTCTGTAAAGCCTGTCAGTGTTCAACCACAAACCATTTGTAATAAGCTGGTAAACCATCTGGTCCAGTCACGTTTCTTTTTTAGTCTATTTTATGACATCATAAGCCTACCTCATTATGGAACCTTTCATAATCTGATTTTTTTTGGGGGGTCAGTTTTGTTTAAGTATTTATCCCTAGTTCTACAGATTCTTTGATTTTCTTAGCTTCTTTCATTTCCTCTTTCATTTTTTCATATCTTTCTTCCATTCTCTCGTCAAAAGCTTCCAAATTAGTATTAACTGATTCAGATACCTTCTCGCCCAATTCTTCAAATGTTTTCTGCAGCATCTTCAGGTAATCCCCCTTCAGTGGTTTGCTCTAATCTTCCTCCTATCGTACTTTTACTATTTTCCGGTGGTTGCCAGTCTACTATTGTAATCCAAAAGTGAAAGTGTCTGAATACAAATAAAGGACAGGCTCTCTTCCTTTTTTTCCCCTGTATCCTTAATACTTCAGTCTCAATTGACATTCCATAATTGTGGTCATGTAGTCTTCTCATATTACCGCCTTGTTTTGTAAAATCTACCAATTGTCTTATGTTAGATCAAAACAAAACAATTTATCTTTTGGAAAAATACTTCAGGGTTTATACATTCTTAATTCAAGCTAAGATTTTGAGTTGCAGGATTTGCTGTACTATAATAGCAGGTACCTGGAAGGAAACAATGCTTTGTATTTTAAGCCTATTTTCAACAGATCAAGATTTTGTTTTTGGACATTATAACTATGGCTACAGAAGTCTAATTTTCTTGCTGAGGAGAAACTTGATTTGTAAAAGATAATCCAAAACTAATATGTAAATACTGAGTTTTGTGTCATTGATTTTAGGAAGATAATGGCATTCCAGTGCATTTGAAAAATGGAATACCAGATATTCTGCTGTATCGCATTACTATGCTCCTTTCTCTTTTTGGTAAGTTTTAAGTATAAGCTAAGCTGTTTTAACCTCCTAAATTTTAAAAAGAATCTACCCGTCTCTATTTAAATCCAAAGTAGATAATTAGAAATGTTCTAGGTCTTTTTTAGTTGAACAAATACAATTTAAGTATTTGATAATTAAAATATTTAATGTCAATTATTTTGTAAAATATTCTCGATATTGATACTGTATTTGTATATATCAACCTTTTGTTATATAAAATCTTTCATATTATTCAGTGTAATATGAAAGAATTATTACCTCATCCTTTTAATCTGATTTAGTTCAGAAAAAACTATATTATAAATATTTGACTGGGTTGCCTTTTGGGGATGTTCTTCATCTAGATCTTTATATTTGTGTTACAGGACATAATTCAGATATGTAACTATTTCCATTACAGAAGACTTAAGTCTCATTCTGTTCAGTAAAAAAAAAAATTGAATACCATTTTTAAAAATTTAGACTTATTTGCTGTTGGCTGTATTTGACCCAATCTCTCAGTCAATGTTGAAATTTACTTCTGTTTTGACATCTAGATTTTAAAATGGTTACCGTAAATGCCGGCGTATAAGACGACTTCCGCGAGCGCTGAAATCGGCGCCAAAGACGGGGGTCGTCTTATACGCCGAGTCGTCTTATACACCGGAAATACTGGTAGTTTCCGGCGTATAAGACGATGTTCTAGGAATGCGGCCCGGCTATAAAGACGGGGGTTGTCTTATACGCCGGGTCACCTAATACGGCGGCATATATGGTAGTTTTAATTGCTTAATGTCTGTTATGCTGCTTTTAAATTACAGTAAAATTGTAATTAGCAAAAACACATTTACAGTGTTTTAAAATACTGCTTTAAAGCTTAGAGGTTTGGGTAATTAATTTTTAAAATAAATGTGCTTTACGCTTTATTGAAACGGGACCCATATTTAAAATGTAAAAAATAATGGAACGAAGGACTTTTCTAAAATCTTTTAATCTGGCACCTCTGTCTTTAAAATGAAAGTAAAAGGGTCTGTGTACATATCTATTGTATTTTAAGGGGAGCTACAATTGAGCATCTATGTTCTGGCTGTCATAATATATTGTCTTTCTTATCTTCAGGAGTTGGCTATGTCTTCTATAATTTCTACGAAATAGGAAAGCCAAAGAAAAACTAACTCCAGTTCAGAAGATGCATCTTGGAATAGCATCATTCTGTTCCATTCCATTACACTCATCAGGGACCTACTTTGTCCTTGTCATAATACTTGATTTTGTGTTTGGGAACAATGTTTGTTAAAAATGTAGTAACTGCAATCATTAAACTAGTTTGGCCTGAAGGATATATTTGCAACTGTTAAAAGATCATTTGTTGAATTTTGTATTTGTTGCAAGTGCTACTGTTTGTGGTTGCAAAAATGACCAATAAATGCTGAAATATGTGATAATTTACCTTCTTGCCTGGTTTGTCATTAAAAATATATCAAAATAAATAAAGGTGTCCTAATAATATAAGAAAAACATGATCTGAGGATTAAGCTAATTTGCTATTGCTAATGAAAGAATGCTATCAGTGGGATATGAAGTGGCTGCAATTTTTAGCGATTTCCTCTTTGACTCCAGATCGGCTCTGCTGGTAGACTAGAAGATGGGCAGCTGTACTTTTAAGAAGAGAAATTTGATCTATCTGTCCTACTCTGGATGAGATAATTCGGTTAGAGCAGACCTGGACATTTTACGGCCCACGGGCCACATTCAGTGCTTCAACTATCCCTGTCTGGCCTGCGGTGTCAGTGGAGGGGGGGGGTATTGGTAGAGGCATGGGGGGAGGTCTTGGCAGGGGATGTGGAAACCCCAGTTTCTCATGTGGCCCTTAATTTCCCTACCTCCGGGGAAGAGGATAGCAATTGTCTGGAATCTTAGTTCAAAAGGTATTATGAAGATAACTGAAAGGATATTGAAACTGAATTATCCACATATTATTTCAATTTTGTTTACTTGTAGGCTAAGAGCATAAAAGGAAATATTTTATTGGCTCTTAGCTCTTAGCCTCCTAGCTCTCTTTCGTGCCATAGCTTTTAGAAATTGTAGAAGCTTTATGTTTAGAAATAAGCATGTGTTGAAATATATACTTCCTGCTGTACAGTAATTTATAAAACCACCTCACCAATACATATAACGTGCAGCACATTTGATTAGGACAATTAAGACCCAGAATGTAGCATGAGCTTGCTAACTCAGGCACCGCTTTTGCAAGAAAGGGGCAATTGTAACTGAAAATTGCCTGGCAAATTGGAAGTTTATAGAAAACTGAAGATGGTGCAATGTCTTAGCCTTAGTCCTTCAACGACATGGGACAAGCATAGAATGGCTGAAAGCAAGTTCTTCATTGCAAAAGTGAACTTATTACAAACTGCGCTTTTTAAACACTTGCTGGCTGGAATGCCTGAGGAATGCCCGATTCTGCTACCTGACTAGCAGAGCAAGAGATTAATTCAACGAAATACCTGTTGCAGAGGAACATGGAATATCAGAGGAAAGTAAGTAGGAGCTCAGGGTCCCTAAAATGGTATACGTATCAATCAATACATGAACAACTATGATGTTTTTGTGTAATTAGGTTATTAGTTTTATGATTTGTGCAGAGAACATAATCACATTTAGGTCATATTTATGCAGAAATATTGCAAATTCAAAATGGTCCACAAACTTTTAAAAAACACTGCATAAACTGCTGCCATCTGCTTTTCAAATAAGAGGTATGAATTTAAGTAAATAACTCAGCTATCTTCCTGGTTTTAATCGCTCTCCCCTCCCCCCCCTTTCGTACTTACTGATAAGGAATGCAGGTTATGGGATCATCTTTCACACAGGGATTAAGGAGAGGAATGCTGAGGAAAGGCATCGGCCATAAAAATAAGTGATGGTTTCCATGGTTTTTTCCCCAGATTCAGGGGTTTGAGTCCCTGATTGTACTTGTGGATGAATGCAGCTTTTCATTTCTGAATTCTGAGAATTGGAATTCAGGAAAAACATTCTCTCCCTGTCAAGCTTTCTGACTTTTTGCATATGGTTCCAACTCTGAATGTTGTCAGAGCTTCATGTGAATCTTGGTGATATAAAAGGGAGTCTTGAGTGAATAATATAACACAAAGCTTGGTGCTTGTTTCATTTCTTTCATAAACAGAATAATCTAACTTGTTCTAGAGCAGTGGTTCTCAACCTTTCTAATGCCGCGACCCCATAATACAGTTCCCCATGTTGTGGTGACCCCCAACCACTTATACATCACCGGGTGCCAGGGGCATGGCCAAAGAAAAGGGGGGAAAATGGCGGACAGCCTTGTTTGGCGACCCCGTGAAATGGTCGTTCGACCCCAAATGGGGTCCCGACCCACAGGTTGAGAACCACTGTTCTAGAGTGAAAAAGTAATTGCCCCTCTGTTTTAGTAAATTCAATTAAGGGTACAACTAGGTCTGGTTGTTTGAGTTCTTTATTAAACAATGAGAGATGATTTGGCCAGATTTATATGAATCTCACAACTACTGGTTCCAATAATAATATACTCACCACATAGATTCTGGAGCAGAGGTCCCCAACCTTTTGAGCACCAGGGACCAGTTCCGTGGACAGAGGTTTTTCTACGGACCGGAGGGGGCATGGTTTCATGTACTGCCTGCATCCCGTGGATGGAGTTTTGCTTGTTTGCGCGGCCCGGTTTCAGGCATGCCACAGTCTGGTGCTGGTCCACGGATCAGAGATTGGGGACTCCTGTTCTAGAGGTATTTCATGACCCGCTCAAAAGAAATTACAGAAGTCCTCCAAATTTTTATTTTAAAAAGTCACTGACGTCTCTCTCAGTTTGGAATGGACTACAACATAGCTTTGAAGATCTATCAATGGAGAGTCGCAAACATAATCTTGATATCGAGATTTGTGTAACTTCAAAACAAAAGTGCCCAGGAAGCCACAAAAAGTTCTAGAAAAACAACCAGGGATCTGCAAATTCTTTTACTTTGTCTGTCAATATTAATAATTCTACCATTAGAAAAGTGGTAAGTAAAACGGGATTCATGAGGCTATGGCAAGATAGAAATGATGGCTCCTTAAGAGTAAGAACTTGCTCACCTCAGTTTTGCCAAAAAGCATTTGAATGAATCCTCCAAACCTCTGTCTGGGGTAGTTAAAATGCAATATTGCAGGCAAACTCTGCCCACAGTCTGGAGATCAATCCTGATCAGCTCAAGGTTGACTCAGCCTTCCATCCTTACGAGGTCAGTAAAATGACCCAGATTGTTGACATCTGTAAACTGCTGACCAAAAACTGACCAAAACTGATTGCAGTATTCTAGGTGTTCTTTTACTAAGGCTTCATAGAAGGGTATTAGTACCTCACACGATCTTGTTTGAATCCTTCTGTTAATGCAATTTAGGATTACATTGGCTTTTTTGGCTGCCGCCACACATTGTTGGCTCATATTTAATTGATTGTCCATGAAGACTCCAAGATTTCTCTCTCAGTTACTACTATTAAGCCTGGTTTCACTCAATCTATAGGTGTACTTTTGGTTTTTCTTGCCTAAGTGTAAGACTACTTTTCTCTACATTGAATTTCATTTTGTAGATAGGGCCCAGTGTTCAAGTCTGTCAAGATCCATCTGGATTTTGAGTCTATCATCTAGGTGTTGGCTATTCCTGCCAGCTTAGTATCCTCTGCAAATCTGATAAGTTCCCCTTCTATTCCCTCATCTAAGTCATTTATGAAGATATTGAAGAGTACTAGGCCTTGTGGTACCCCAATGCTTACTTCCCTCCATGTAGACATAGTACCATTAAGGATTATTCACTGAGTATGGTTTGTCAGCCAGTTACAAATCCATCTGATGGTGATGCTATCTATCCCACTTTTTTTCTAGCTTACCAAGAAGTAGCTTGTGATCTACTTCATTGAATACCTTGCTGAAGTTTAGGCAGTGGTGGGATTCAGCCAGTTCGCACCAGTTCAACAGAACCGGTAGCTAATTTTTTGTTGCCCAAGCCCAGAATGAACTTCTGGAAGCAGCATCCACACAAAGAACTGGTTGTTCACATATTTGAATCCCACCACTGAGTTTAGGTATACTATGCCCACAGCATTTCGCTGCTCTACTAATTTAATTACTTTGTCAAAGAATGAAATAAGATTGGTTTCACATGATCTTAACAAACCTGTGCTGATTTTTAGTTATTACTTTACTCATTTTTAGATATTTACAGATCTGTTTTTTTATTATCTTTTCCATTATCTTCCCAGGTATCGATGTTAGGCTGATTGGCCTGTAGTTTTCTGGGTCTGGGTTTTTCCCCCTTTTTTGAAGATGGGAACCACATCGGCTCTTTTCCAGTCCTCTGGTAGTTCCCTGGTGCTCCAGGGTTTTTGAAAGATATGGCACAGTGGTTCTGAAATGACATCTGCCAGCTCCTTTAGAACTCTGGGATGTAATCTCTGGGTAGAAGAGTATCAGGGCATTTGTTTACCAAAACTGAAGTGCTAGTGGATTATCTAGCAGTGATCTCAAACATACACTGATTTCAGTGGGATTTACTTCCAAATTAGTTGAACTAACATCCCAGTGGAATATGTGCCATGAGTTTATTTTGACTTGGTTTGAATTTTGAATTCAGTGCAAACCAAATGCAGCTACGAAATTTAGCTATGGCCATCACAAAACCTCTGGTTATTCCTCTGGTTTTTGACCTTTACACTTACAGGGAAGGCAAACCTTGTTGAATGGCTCCTGTGTGGCTGTTTTTTTTTTTCTTTTTAGAGATGGTTCTGGCCTCACTAGTCTCCATGCTATTCAAGATATTTGCACACATGGATGTCTTCACTTCTCCTTTTCAGATTATCTTCTTTGACATTAGAACAAATTTTTTCTTTTAATTTCTTATCCTTATATTGTTGTATCTTTGATGCTCCAATCATCAAAGCAACGGGGAACAGGGGTTTTTTTTTAGTTCCTGGATTCCTACCTTACAACTTAAAGATGTTTGAAAATTAAAGCAAAGGGAAAGGAACCATTGCAATATTGTGGGCAGAGAGTTAAAGAGCAGGAGAATCATGCTTCCCACAGCCTGCACAGAAACAGAAAGCTTACTGGGAGATATAAGGGTTAGAGGGAACATAACACCTCTGTTGCACAAGCTTCATTCGGTGCTGATCTGCTTCTGGGTCCGATTCAAGATAGCTCCAAGTTACCTGTGAAACCATCTTCATTCCATTACATCAGCTCCTACCATCCGGTCAGGCAGGGAAGACCTGTTGCGGACCCCATCAGCCAAATAATTCTGACTGGAAGGATCCAGGAAGTGAACTTTCTCTATTGTTGCCCTAACCTTATTCTTCCCCCAGAGGTGACGCAGGCCCCACTCTCCTGGTCTTCTGGAAAGTCACAAAGCCATGGCTCTTTAGC